CTGGGGAATTCTGGGAGTTGAAGTCCACGCGTCTTAAAGTGGCCAAGGTTGAGAAACTCTGCTCTATGTGTTAAAAATGGATTCAGTTCTGTGCCCCTAATTTGTGTGTTTTCCCTAATATAATGCATGCTGACATAATTTGACCCATTCGAGGATTTTTGCATGTTTTTCCCACCCATATGCATTTTTATTCCCTTTTTTTTCCCATCCAGGTTTTGCATCCCCACATCTAGAAAAGGCTGTCACAAAATGACCTGTTTGTCTTCCACTACAAAGGGATTCCTACACGACCTCCGAACAGGTCTCGACTTTTTTGTTGCTGCTGTTTCAAAGAGAAGAAAGGGAAAAGACTTACAACCATTTGATTCCGTTGCACGTCCCGTTTTGCAAGACGAAAGCCAGGAAAAAGGTTATCAAAAATTGTCGCTTCATCGTCATTCTTGGCTCCTGAGTCACAAGGGAAAAATAAATGTGTTGTGTCTATTTTTCTGTAGGCAAGGAGATTCCTTTGCTTTCTGGAATGGGGGGAAATGTTTTCCTCCAGGCATCGACCTAAAACTGAAGATGAGAGACATAAGATAAGGTCATCCAGTTCACTATAAACTTACTATTTACCCTCAGAAAGACAGGCGGACGGATGGTTTGAATTATAACAGCAGCACGTTTGTTCAAGTTGGCTTGCATGCTTTCAGTTATCCTCGCATATAATGAAATTTCATTCCTTATCCCGGCTTTATTTTGCTCCCTATTCAATTCTTCCTTCCTTCCTTCCTTCCTTCCTTCCTTCCTTCCTTCCTTCCTTCCTTCCTTCCTTCCTTCTCTTACCTTTTCTTTTTCTTTTTTCTAACTTCCCTTCTTTCTTTTTTTCTAAGTTTTTCTTCTAACTTAACATTTATTTCCTTTCCTTTCCTTTCCTTTCCTTTCCTTTCCTTTCCTTTCCTTTCCTTTCCCTTCTCCACATATTTGCTTGAGAAGGGGTAAGGGGAGAGCCTGCCTGTCAAATCTCCAGCCCTCTCAGGAGGCTTTTAACTTTTCGCCTTCTCATTTACAAATATATGAAAAGCAGAGGGCAGAGAAAGAAGGCTCTTTGCGGAGACAGATGACAGGAGGGGATATGTCGGCTAACAGAAATGCCTTTGCTTTGCAGATGTTTGAGGCCGCCTGATAGTTTGGAAAGAACACTTTGGGTGTGTCTCCTGCTTGTAGCCCCCCCATCTCGTTCCCTTTCTTCCCATACAGCCAGTCCCCTAGACCTCAAGGAACATTGCAAGCTGGGAATAAACAGAGAACATCTTCTTTTTTGAAATCTCAAAAGCTAATTCCCTTTCAACCACTTGAATGAAAACATATAAATCGTGTGCATTTTTTCTGCCCTGCTATATGGCTCCAGCTGTTCTCGGTTGCTCACAGCTACGTTTCACGTGGTGGGACTACTGGGGGGAAAAGAACCAAAACCCCCAGCCTGGATGCCTTCAGTTAGCTACCAAATTCTAGCACTCAGTAGGGATGATCTCTGATCCTTCCCTCACAATGACAGCTGAGTTTGCAAGCTGCCAACAACAAACATTGATTTACCCACAATGCTCCAGGTGTGCCATTCTTCCAGGGCATTGTGGGAAACTGCAAAGTGACTGCCACCCGGCGCTTCATCAGGGCATCTTCAGCCTGGAAGATCACTTGTGCAAAGCGGCAAATGGAGGTGGGCTGTGGAAGGATAAAACTCACCCAGGAGAGGATATTTCTATTTAAATTGTATCATCATTTCCCAGTTTGCCTTCCTGGTCCTTTGTTTTGGGGTTCACCCTCTCTATCTACCTCCTGTGTTTCTGCCTGTCTCCTTGTCATGAATTGGCAGACGGGCTAGAGATGGAGCATGTTAAAACTGCCAAAAAACGCCCAAAAGACTATGTTTTTGAATTCCACGGGACACTTTTTCCTGGTTGCTTATTAAACAAACCCAGAGGGAAGGGAGCAGGAGTGACAAAGATGGAATAATGTTATTGGAATCGGAAAAATATCTTGCAAGTAATGAAATTAGAAAAATTAGATGTCTTACAAGAAGTATTGCATGAAAGGCACATGCAGTCCTTATCCCTCTCTATTCTGCACAGGTAAAATCACATCTGGAGGACCATGCATGATTCTGGGCACCCCAGTTCCAGGTCAGAGCAGGTCCAGTGAAGGTTGGCAAAGATGATCCAAGGGCTGGAGGACATGTCCTATGAGGACAGGCTGAAGAACTGCAGATGTTCAGTCTGGAGAAGACTGAAGTGAGACGTGATAGCCACGTTCAGGTACATAGAGAAAAGCTATAAGGAAGATAGTTAGGAACTCTTTTCCATGGTCCCATTTCCATAAGACCAGAAATAATGGGGATAAGTTGCGGCTAACCTAGAATTTCTTTAAATACAAGGAAAAACCTGATATGTTCCAACAGTGGAGCCACCCACCTATGGAAGCTGTGGGTTCTCCATCTCTAGAGATTTTAAGAAGAAGCTGACAGCCACCTCTCAAGGATGGTTGAACTGACTTTCCTGCACATTACTGTAATCCAGTGTTTAGATGCTGGCTGGGGAATTCTGGGAGTGGAAGTCCACATGTAAAGTTGCCAAGTTTGGAAAACCCTGGATTAGAAGACCTTTGTGTTCCCTTCCCATTTGATGATTCCATGAAATTATATTTAGGTACCTTATTCACATCCAGACTCTTCTTGGAACGATTCATTTCCATTTTACGCTTACAACTACCCAGCGAGGTCACCTAGAACAGTGTTGTCCAAACTTGGCCACTTTAAGATGAGTGGACTTCAACTCCCAGAAATCCCCCAACCCCCCCGCTTGGCTGGGGAGTTTTGGGGGTTTAGGACCCTCCATCTTTAAATGGGCCAATTTGGAAAAACATCAACACAAATAAA